GTAGTAATGTGAGAACTATCAGCGATCATTATTGTGGCACAAGCTACATTAGGTAAGCTGAAGTAGCTTGTACTACATTAAAGATCAGCAATCTTTACTGTCCAAAGATTATCTTAGCTTAGCCCTCATAGCTTGCTACATGCTACATCTAGGTGTGTATTATTGTAACTACATACTCTGCCAGTGTGGAGTTTTATCAAACTTTGTTGTTCAATAAAATTTAGCAGACTGAGAACTTAGTTTAAAAAACACGTAGCAAGGTTTATTTCTCTTCTGCAGAAGGAGAGAACACATGGAATGGAAACGCAGCCCAATAATTCTTGTGTGTTCTCTAAAAAACATGAGCAATGCAGCTTCATTTATACATCTTCACATGTAACAGATCTTGCTTTGACACAACAGCCATTACCTCATTTGCAGTCTTATCAGAGAAAAAAACAGACAGTACGTTTGTGGTCAGTGACTGGTTCTGGAGCTGGGTTTGAGAAACGGAAGTTACAAAGCTTCACACACTGATGCTGAGGGGATTTAGCTGATAAGCTTTAACAGAGTGTGATATAAAGTAAATGACTAAAAAGTGTGATGATAAACTTGATGAACAAAATAAACTGGTATCAATGTTTCCATTTCCACAAAGTACTGATCTTTTTCTGAGACTCTGAGCTAAAACTGCAGGCAAACATTTTAATTATCATTATAAAGTAAACTGTAAATTGAGTAAATGTATCAAACTTTTATATTAAAAACCCAGAAAATATCAACACCAGTCACCAGAACTTTATTAATAAGGGTGTGAATCTCGCAGTGTCTGGCGAATCTATTCAATTCCGATTTTTGGTGTCACAATTCGAGTCAAAATTGATTTTTTTTTGATTGAGAAACAATTCTTCTATTGAAATGGTCATAAATTTTGTTTCAATTATGTAACTGACAATCTGAAAAGATTAAATAATTTAAACAAAAAGAAAATTTATTTAAAACAATAATTTTAGGTTCTTTACTGTATCAAATCTTTTTGCATCATTTTATATTTACATGTATACCAAAAATAGGAACAAATATAGGCATGCATAACATTCTGTAACTTAAATTACCAGTATTAGGTTAGCTTAGTTGCCTGGATATTAAAAAAAAATAATCTAGGAACGAATAATCTATCCATCCATCCACTGAATGAGAGGAACACACCGCTGAAGCCATGGAGCTCGAACATCCTACGTAAAACTAACTTTACCGCGGTGCCTGGCTAAACAATCCTCGTGCTTTTAAATGTGGTGCTTTTTCAAATATTATCAAGTTCGATGTATTGTAGGTCTCGACCGAGCTTCCTCCTCTCGGTATAGCAACTCTGCGAGGGGTGTTTAGTGTAAATACTTCCACATAGCGGACATGTTATGATAAAAAGTTGGTTAGCCTTTAGCCACAGTGCTGTTGCTCAGCCCTGACGTTGTAGCAGGCTGCAAACTATGAAATGGATTTCCTGAATGTGAGGCAGGTCTTATTACTCTGGGTTTCATGAAACACGCCTCCGTTCGGGTAATCCATTCCATAGTTTAAAGCCAACTTGCACAGCAGTCAGCAGGGAATCGTGTGGAGATGTTTCAGCAGACACAGACATGCATCGTGGATCAGAAATCTCTGCAGGTTGCATCGGAAAAATCCGATACATACATTATGCTGGTATCGGAGGCCAATACCGGATCGGATCGGCCCCATCCCTACTTTGAGCTGCAGCAGCTGGTGCATTAATTAGAGCTCCTCATGCTTTATTTTTATATCATGGTGGTGTTGTGGAGCTGCTTTATCACTAAAATCTATGTGAAGGAATAACGTACGTTGGGTCCAGCGTAATAAAAATAAACCTAAACTCCTCACCTTCGACTGAGCTGTCTGCTCGTAAATCCTTTGCGATATAATAATAAACAAACAATAAAGGCTGTTTCTATTCTATTCTATTCTATTCTATATAGCAGGAGATGGAGAGGAAAATCTTTTCAGCCTTTGGGGAAGTCTGGAAGTTTGTTGCAGAGTTTGCTGCTTTCGCTTTCATCTTCGGTGCATTTTGTCATTTTTCTAAAATTCTGTACTGCAATTTTATTTTACTATTCTTGTAAACAACTGTGCTCTTGTTAAGCTCTGTCTTGCCCCGGAACATTGTAGGATCTGAAATGATTTTTAAAGACGAAGAAGCGGGTTGAATCGCGCTGTCCCCTCCTCCATGCTAGCAGGCTCCATTCAGATAAAGGGAGATGGCTAACTAGCTTACTGTACGGTGGCCTACACAACCCAATTTTACAGCGGCTGAGCATACATGTAATGCACTATGCAATACACTTGGGTGTAGGGGTGGAAAAAAAATTAAACAAATATTTTTAAATCGATTTAAGAGCTTTTAGAATCGATTCAGAATCACCAGGACTTGGAATCTAGATTCTTTAAAAAATCCAAAAAAAAAAATTTCTGCACCCCTAGTTATTAACATAAAGAGTTTGGATGTCCTTCACAAATCTGTTGATTATATGCATCCATGGATTTAAAGCTGCGAAGCTCCTCTGTTGTAGGCACTCCTCGTGTTCACTAAATAATTAACGACATCATAGTAACTTCTTGTTTGCAACTTGTCCGCTTCATCTAACATAATTTCTTACTCCACTTCATACGGGTCAACTCCGACCGCATCTATTTTATGCCTATATCTTTCTCTAGCTCTGGTCTGTCTGTAAGCCATCTTCCTCGAATGTGGTCTAGCACGAGCCTAAACATATGACAGAAAACCTGGTATTGCGCAATACCGGTTACATGTGTGGGAACTATGTATAGGTTGACCTCATCCTTATGTCACTGTGGCTGAATCCCACAGAGACTCGTTTCCTCACATCAACTCTTTAAGTCTCAAAGTTCTCCCAAACTCCTGACTTTCTTTGTGTTTACAGTAATTATGTGATGAAACATAAGGAAAGGTGGAATGCCTCGAACTCAAAAGTGCGCCGCCAGCTAGGGCTGGGTACCTTTCTAAAAAAATCTGTACCGGTGTCGGTACCTTCACTTTGGTGTCGGTTCCTGGACGGTTCTTTTTTCGGTACCAATTTTGTAATTACTATTAATTCTAACAAGAATAAAATTACGTTACACATTACAGTACAAATTGTGTTTTATTTTTTAACTTTGGTATTTTTCTATTCCAAGCAGTTTTCTTACATAAAAACAAACAAATAATTTCCAGTTCAAAAGAACAGTTTCAAACCAGTGACATGTCAGTGTCTATGGTTCATTGCTACACACTGAGAACCTTTTCACTTATCAGTTTTTCTTCAGAAAAATCAACATGTCTGTTTTCTCTGGACACAAACAAGCCCACTCCTGGCTGATGGTGTCTCCAGCAGTAGAAAATGTTCACTTTGAGGCTGTAGATGATGCTTGTTGCACACACAGATACCTGGTTGTCAGTTTGACAGCACTGACATATTGTCCCTCACATTCCACCAGCAGGTCACTGGATTCACTGAGGTAGGGATGATGCAGACTTCTGCACCTCTGTGTCTCTGCCTGAATCTTTTCTGTGATTCTCTGGAGTTTAGGGCTCTGATCTTCTCCCTAACTGACATGAGAACAAAACATCAACAATAACATGGTTGTGTTATTATTACTTAAAAAACATTATCTAGGCTGAGAGATAAAAGTTTAACTGGTCAACAAAATCCTTTACAGTTTATTTACCTCCAACATGCAGCTCTACTGTAGAAAAAGCAGCAAACTTTTAACAAAGTTTGATTGTCCTGTGGCCTCCACCTCACTTTTCTTTTGTCCTCCTCACATCAGGGTCAGAACCTCATTAACATGAACAGTAAACATTAGTGAAATGTTTAAGCAGCTGACCCGATGGATGAGCACATTTTTACAAGCTAAGGTTTATCTGTTACTGTCAATCTTTAGTTAGCTTCTGATTTTAGCTAGCTACGTAGATGCCCATAAAATAAATTTACACACTAATATCTTAAAAAGTTAGCGTTACATGGATCATAATTTATTTCACAGCGATGTACGTGTTAAGCTGCAGTTACGTTAACAAACAAACTCACCAGCTGAAGCACAGACACAAGACGTCCTCAGAGTTCTTTGATGAAGAGTCCGGTCGTGGAGATAATGAATCAGGACGTTCAGGCTCTACTCACAGGCTGACTTTAATGGTGAGAGGAGGAGGGGGAGGCTAATGAACTCTTCTCTCCTCGCAGAAAAACACGGAGCAACTTTCTGCAGCACACGTGAACCCGTCTGTGGGCGTCACCAGCACCATAGACATAATCATACATAGATTAGGGACGGCAGCTCTATACAGCTCTGGGTGTAATCTGTTTGTCATATGTCTTGTGTTTAACTTGCCTGCATGCTGAAACCACGTGAAACGTTACAGCCAATACCAAAACTTGACACCAAAAGAAGAGTGACGTTTCAATACATACACCGACCGGTGCAGTTCGGTCGGTGCCATAAAAGAACCTCGGTTCAATACTCAGCCCTACCGCCAGCAGATCAGCACTTTGCGGTTCTCCTCATTCAATCACAATCTCAGCTTCACACAGAATCACTCCTCTATGTGCAAGAGTTAAATGTTTTTAGGAGCATCTCTAACTTACCTTCCATTACATTTTTCATTTCTTTCATCTAGACATGTTTTTTTAAAACATGTAGAGAATCACACTTTCAGAACATATTTACATATTTAAGTTGAGGTGTATCAGGGGAGAAGCCTCAGTTCATCAGGAAGCTACTGTTTGTGACCCATTTAGACACTGAATGGGGGTTCTGCTGTGAAGTCAGCTGCAGGTTCAAAAAGGATTGACAATGACCACTTAGCTCATCTAAATGACGTTTTCTGTGGGGACTCTTATCAAGAGTCTGAACACGCAGCTGATGTTCACACATAAATATGCTGTTTCAGCAGAGGACTGAGTCTCAAGCTGTGTCTGTGTTTTTGTCCTCTGTCACCCTCCTGTGTCCAGCCTCTGTTTGCATACATCACTCAGGAGAAGTACAGTGAGAATGGCTGGAACGTCTACAAACCTGTAGAAGAGTTCAGGCGTCAGGTAAGAACCAAGACAAGTGCAGCTCCAAGTTCTACTGGTCCAAAAGCACTCTGATTTAATCATAGTCACACCCATTACCTGCAGCTCAAAGGCAAGTAATAAAATTTTTGCTCGTCTTTTTTAGTAAAATATCTATGAAGCTTACTGAAAACCACCTACAGAGTTCAGATCTGTGTTTAAATCTGCCAGGTGCTATTGCAATCCTTTATTAGTTTGTTAGCAAAATATCGGATGAACTTTTGAAATCATTCAAGACATCATCATTGGATGGACAACCAATTAAGTTTTGGGGTCATCTTGGTTCAAGATGGTGACCACAGCAAAATGACCTTAGTAACACTACAGTGTTGGGGTTAGGTTGCACATACCTTGACTTTTAACTGATCCTCACATCATGTTTTCTTCAAAGTTTGACCAAAGAGCCATTTTGTCATCATTGGACTGTGGTAGTGTGTAATATGTAAACATGTATGACATGTAAACACACCACAGTGGAGGAGGCGTGGCGATGTGCTGTGATTGGCTCTACTACAGGAAGTGAAATTGTAGTAATTTAGTCTAGCCTATAGCAGCACAAATTTCTCCATAGCACGGACTTTTCAGGGAGTTTTCTTCTAGGTTTTTATTTATTTTTCAGAGCTCAGAAAGTGTTCGTAGTGTTTAAGATGGGTTTAGAAGCCTGGTACTTGGACAGTTCTGACGAGGACCAAAGGAAGCCACACAGGATGAATCCAAACCAGCCCGTTAACTTAAACGAGTTGCAGAAGCTAGGAGTTTTCTACTGGAAGTTGAATGCTGATATTTATGAAACAGACCTAGAACTGGAGAGGATCCGCAAAGAACAAGGTTACTCCTACATGGACATTATTACAATTCACAAGGACACTCTATCCAACTATGAGGATAAGCTGAAGATGTTTTTTGAGGAGCATTTACACTTGGGTGATGAGATTCGCTAGATCCTAGATGGCCAGGCCTACTTCGATGTCTGGGACAAGGAGGACCGATGGATCCGAATCGCCATGAAAAAGTGAGACCTGATCACTCTGCCGGCTGGCATCTACCACCGCTTCACTCTGGATAAAATGGACTACACCAAAGCCATGCGACTGTTTGTGGGAGAGCCAGTGTGGAAAGCCTACAACCGACCAGCTAATGACTTCGAAGTCCGTCAGAAATACGTGGCTTCACTGCAGTGTTCCTGAAATGAAGAAAACCCTTAAATCGCTGCACACACTAAAAAAAGACACTAATAATGTGAATTAAAAAAAAAAAGACTAGGTTTACAAGTAAAGTTTTCAATTTCTAAAAACTGACAGAGGAAATGGCAGATGTTACTACTTGGAAGACTGCTACTAAGTAAAGATTCAATGCGTCTGCTGGCTTCCTTCCTTAAGTGGCTTTTGTATGTACAGTATGTGAATGTTGTACAGCGCCCTGAGACAACTACTGTTGTGATTTGGCGCTTTATAAATAAACTGAACTGAACTGAACTAATATACAGAACATTCAGTTCTCATGAGGGTTGAAACATGTAATGAACTCATCCTGTGGTGAAGTGGAGAGCTTAATGGTTTAATTTTTATCCTCCAGGGCCTACCCAACAACAAGTGGCGTATTGCATTCATCAATAAGAGCTATGATCTGTGTGACACTTACCCTCCGGTGCTGGCTGTGCCTTACAGAAGTACAGATGAAGATCTCAGGAGAGTGGCTGCCTTCAGATCCAGAGGACGCATACCGGTGATAGCCACGCGCAAACCTTACTCTTCTAGACATTCTGCTTGGCCTCACTGAAACCTGTTGTTGGTCTAGGTTCTGTCGTGGATCCACCGGGAGAACCAGGCAGTGATTGTCCGCTGCAGTCAGCCTCTGGTTGGGATGTCCGGAAAAAGGAACAAAGATGACGAACGCTACCTGGACCTGATCAGGGAGGCCAACGACACCACGAAGAAGCTCACCATTTATGATGCCCGGCCAAACGTCAACGCCGTGGCCAATAAGGTCAGAAAAGACAGAAACCAGTACTGGGCTGAACGGGTCTACCACTCTTATCAGATAAGTGAAACAGACCTTACAAAAGAGTTGCTCTATTTTAATCATGTAAAAAAGTCTAAGCTGATTCCTTCTATGGCCCAGTTACAAAACATCCTCAAGACTAATTATGTGATTCAGTAGTGCATTAGGTCCACATGACCAGTGCCAAAATGTTTTTAATGTGGGGGCCACTTAAAATTCTGAGTTTGTACCAAAACCAAAAGCGAGAACAGAATTTCTGGAGATTTGTCTTATACAGGTTATGCAACATTTGCAGTGAATCAACTTCTGATATGCATACAGTGGGCAAAATGAGTATTTGTAACTCATTCATTCAACCTTCATTTATACAAGCTAGCCTCATTGAGCCATGAGGACTCATTTACAAGAGGAACCTGTTCCAGACAGAACATTTAAAGTACAGACAACAATAACAGTAAACAATGGCAACAATAAACTACAGTAAAAATGCAAATAAAATAAGAGTATTGTATAAAACAATAAATCAGGGTGCTGTAAAATGTTGAAATACTAAAAACAAGAACATATTTGCTTTGGTTTTTCCATTGACATTATCAAATGTTTGAAACCCCTTAAAGAAATCAAGGTGGACAACTTCAGTTCCTGTTGAGGTGTTCCAGGTTGCAGGAGCAGAGTAGGAAAATGCCTTTTTGCCAAGCTCAGTCCACACTCAGGGAACACTGCAGGTAATGATGGCCTGAGCGCGTATGTTGTAACTGCACTGATGGTGTGACATGTGGGAGGAGATATATATATATATTGGGCGGCTGTGGCTGAGTGGTTACAGCAGTCGTCCTCCAATGCAGGAGTTGGGGATTTGAATCCACCAGCAGTCACATGCCAAAGTGTCCCTGGACAAGACACTGAACCCCTTATTTCCTCTGATGTGTGTCCCATTTGTATATGAATGTAATAAAGCACTGATTAGTCTCTTTAGAATGATTTGTTAAATTAGCTTTGTAGAGATCTATTAGAGTGCTGTATGAATGGGTAAATGAGGCTCAGATTGTTGTGTAAAGCGCTTTGAGTATCTCGATAAGATAGAAAAGCACTATGTAAGTACAGTCCATTTACCATATATGAAGGTAGCAGACCAAGGAGGGATTTATAGATGAAAATGAACCAGTGTGAGAGCCTGCGTGTAGATGATGACCAACTGACCAAGAAGTACATAGTGCCGTGATGGGTCCGTAGTTACAACCAGCTATAAATCTTAGCGCGCCATGGTAGACAGCATCCAACATCTGCAAGGAGCTGGCAGTAGCTTGGCTGATTTTACAAGTTTTCTCACTTATAAAGAATGGAGAGGTCTGTAATTTTTATCGTAGCTACACTTAAACTGTGAGAAACCGAAGCTAAGACAAACATCCAGAAAATCACACCGTATGAATCAGCCATTCGGAACAACAAAATTAAAGAGCGTGAAGCAGAACTACTCAGAATAAAAGTTTCAGCCTGCCTCAGCAATGCCAAACCACTACCTTCCAACATCAGTAGAGAGGAGAGGGATGCACTCACCACTCTTAGCAAGGATGAAAACATCATTCTCCCCGCAGACCAATTGTTAGCATGATTAATTCTGTCAATTACAGTGTTTCCAAATATCTGGCGTCTGTACTCATCCCTTTAGTTGGCAGCTCAGAACATCGCATACAGAACACCATGGACTTTCTGGATGTGGTGAGGGATGTCATCATGGAAACGAATGAAACAATGGTCTGTTCTATTTCGTATAGGCTTCGCCCTTTAAGGCTATCGCTAGTGGGTTTATCTCTTCGCACGCAGCACAACACTGAAAACTTTAGTCCACTACTGTGTGGGCCTCACCCCCGGTCCGTATAAATTACGGTGAGACCGGGTAATCGGCTCCCATTTTGTCTTCAGCCAGCTAGCTAGCACTGTCAGAAGAACAAAGAAGGAAAAGTTGTCCAGCTTTGACCGGCACAACCTTTGCTAAGGATGCCTGGATCTCCGCCACGCCAACTGCCCCTCATCCCGGTGAGCTCTTCCTCCCCGAGGAGAAGCAGAGACGAGCAGCCTTGTTCAAGGTAAGCACCGAAGAGTGCTTTTCCATGGCAGGCCGCTACCCGCTGGATGACGCCATCGCCTTTTCTAACGTTTTTTTCTCGCGGTAATCGAATATTTCCTCAAAAAAGGCGATGTTAGCAGCAGTCCCACTGAATGTTTTTCCGTGGAGGGCCACTACTCGCTGGATGACGCCACTGCCTTTTCTAACGTGTTTTTTTCTCACAGTGAATCGGATGATTCCTTCGAAAAAGGCGTTGTTGGCAGCAGCTCCACTGAGTGTTTCTTTCTGTGGCGGGACGCTATGCGCGGGATGACGCCACCGCCTTCTTTGACGCAGAGTCACGCAGTGAATCGAATGATTACTCTGAGAAAGGCGATGCGGAGCTGCCCCCTCCCTCCCGGAGAGCGTAGTGACGGAAGACGAGCCACCGAGCAAATGCTCAGCCACCTCGGATCTTCTCACGTCAGCGACCACACCGCACTCAGTCGTCGGCGCCCTCCTCTCGGAGCTGCCTGGCATAATCCAGGAGGATGTTAAGACGAGACTTTCCGTCCCTCAATTCCCTCTGCCCTGATCGCATGATCTGGCAGCAAGGTTGGCTCCATCCCGGCTCGTCACCCTTACCCCATCTGGCCTCGCTGTCCAGCTGTGACGTCACACTAGAACGAGACTGCAGCTGGGCCCGGCAAGCTGAAGACATCCGTCTCCACTTTCGCCTCCATCTCCAGAGTGGAGGGATTTACCGATCGGTGCGTTTCCCTCGCAGCCCCCCCCCCCGGAGCCAAGCTTGGCAGTGACGCTTGGGACAAAAGCTTCCAGGATGGACGAGCAACCTGTCCCTCCAGAGAAGCATGACCATATGGTGACAAAGGTCTCCAACCGAGCTCACCAGTGCTCATTCCAGACGGCTGCAGCGAACAACAACATTGCCCTGCTTGCCTACAGCATCTCTAAGAGGCTGGAGGAAGCAGACCTGCTGGAGGAGACAAAGAGCTCTCTCTTTAAAGCTGCTGATGTCATCTTAAACATGTGCCACCTCTGTGGTCTGCCTGTCCCGCATCGCCGCCTGGATGACCGTGATCCAAAGGACCACTTGGCTCCGCCTCTCGCCAGCCGTGTCCGAGAGGCTACAGAAAAACCTGCTGGAGGGCCCCATCACCCCATAGGCACTGTTCGGGGCCAACTTCAGGACCATCCTTGAGAAATCGCAGAGGTCCGAGGAGGTCTCAGAGACTGTACATCATCTGGAGATGTCACAGTCCTCCTCCCACCCCTCCGGCTGCTGGAGGGACCGCTGTGGCCAGCAACAGCAACAGAGGTGCTCCACAGCTGCGGCAGTGACTTCACAGTCTGCTCCTCTGCCAGCCCCCTCCACCAGGGAACAGCACCTTGAAGGGAATTTATGTGTTTTTTGATGAGGTATGTTTTGAAATATAACAAACATCTCTGAAAGTAAAGTTTAATCTGATTCCAGCCTGACTGTCAGATCAACCGAGTTCACAGCTACCGCTCTTCACATTTTCCCCATACAGAACGAGCCGGTAACTTCTTAACAGCATTTTAAATGGCACCGCAGTTCTGTAAATATCACAAAACACTTGTCTGCCATGTTAGCTAAAAACAATGTTTTTTCAGCAGACCGAGTCCGGTAAAATCCCTCGCTCTTAGCCAGTGCCCGTTTTTATTTTCTGCCGTTTTCTATCATCTCATTGCGCAGCGGGAGTAAACAATTTTTTCTCCACGACAGCTGCAGCCTCCACCGAAATGGCGTTTTCACTCAGAAAGCACTCACGCCTCCTCTCAGTGCGCACCAGCCCACCTCAGCTCTAACGTGAGACTGCAGCCTGGGTTCAGTACAGAGGCACACATACAGCATTTTTCTGTCTGAGTCCCCACCTTGGGTTCCCCCCAGAGAATCTCCAGCGCGGGTGATGGCAGTAAGGGTTTTTAGCCTTGTTGATGTCCATGAGAAACATGACACAAAATGCGTGCTCACTCTCCAAGCGTTACTCAGAGTGGCAGTGAGTGTGTTCCCTGGACAGATGGACGGTCTGTCTGATCAACAGGGGTTACATGCTGCAGTTTCGCAGCTCAATCGATTATAGAGACGGTCTTCTCCAGAACAGAGCTCGCCTTTCCAGTCAGAAGTTTAAGAATTCCTGATGAAAAACATGATTTCCAGAGTTTCCAACGGAGAGGAAAATACGGGTTCTTTTTTTTCCTCCCACTACTTCCTGGTTCTGAAAAAAAACAGAGGGATGAGACCCATTCTCGACCTGTCCATGTTCAACAATTCGATCATGGAGAGACAAATTCCACATGCTGACAATCAAACAGCTGCTGGAGAACTTCACCAGAATGACATAGATCTGAAGGGTGCATAATTTCACATTTTCATCATTCTGAAACACAGGAAATTCCTGCGTTTTTCTCCTCCAGGGGATTCTGTATCAGTACATCAGGCTACCGTTCGGTTATTCTCTCGCCCCACGCACATTCTCAAAATGCGTGGAGAAGGCTCTGCAGCCATTACACATGGCAGAAATGAGATGTCTTTTTTTATCTGGACGATCTGCTTTTATTAGGTCAGTCTAGGCAGGAATCAGCTGCGCAGACCAAACGCTAGCGTTACACCTACTAAACCTGGTTTTTCTTTAAACTGGGAAAAGTTCCGTTCGCCCGTCCCAGATGATTGTTTATCTGGGAGTGGAGGTAAACAACCACAGTGAGAGCCCGTTTATCACAGCCGAGAGCAGAAGCTCTGTAAATTCAGTTCCACTATGTCAAATCCGGCAGCGTAGTGACAGCTCTGTCTGTCATGCAACTACTGCGACGGTGTCAGCAGCCCACATCGTGGTTCCGCTGTGCCTACTTCACATGAGACGCCTTCAGAGATGGTTGCCCGCCTGCGCATAGA